TTGTATCGAGTAATACTATCAAGTTCAAGTATGGCTAGGCAATCAACTGGACCTATCAGACTGGGGTTGGAAATTAGTAACAAATACATTAGAGCTGATTGAAACTTTACTCCCACCAGCTCCGGAAAGACTTCTCAACACCATTTTCTGCAATTGCAAAAAGGGTTGTAGCGCAAAATGTAGCTGTAAAAAGTCGGGTTATTTTGTTCATCGGTGTATACTAATGGCTGAGGCCAGTCTTGCTTCAATGTTGAATCAAATTCAATAAATGATGATTTTGATGATATCAATGAGGAGACAACTGATGTATCTTTTTCACATATCCAGCTTAAAATTGAAGATGACTACGAAGTAGAAGAAAGCGAAGAAGATACTAATATATAATATATCACACTAATACGAGTATATAATACATAATATGTATTTAATAATAAATAATACATACAAATATAATATTATTGTATATTAATTTCGTAACTTCACAAGAATCGCGATGACTTTTCTAGCATTATATTTTATATAAAATCGCAATATATTTAATATATTTTCGCAATATATTTTCTCGCAATATATTTTTGCAATATCTTCTCACAATATATTTTCGCAAGAATTGCAATATCTCAGGAATAATGAATTAATCTTATGAAATGATCTAATACTTTTGTTTGATCTATTTTTATAATAAAACGTTTCCTTTTTTTTAAAAAAAAAAACACCTTTTTTTTTATACCTTTGACCTCGAATAACTTTTTTTGCAGATATGGGATCGATGGGGATTTTTAATACTTTATTTGTAGTAATGTCTCAAAGAGATGTACCAATTTTCAGCTCTATGCGAATTATTGTAAATTGAAATGTTTATTTGACCGGATTATAAAAGCATTTTTTCAAAATAATATTTAACTTTTAAATTATAAGGTAACGGTTTTTCTGCGGTTTAAAAGTTTAAGGACACTTGTAGTTTTATTAATTAAAATTAACATGTATGTTTTTTAAAAAAAGTTTGATTTCAAAACGTCAGTATTCCGTTGGATAACCGTAAAAGTCAATTGCAACGCCGCAACATTGAGTCTACTAGCTTGACTATAACATCTAATGGAATCTTCGACCATTCTGATTCAACTAAAGTGAGTAAACTATTCTTATTGTTGGTTTTAACCCTTTTATTTGACAAATTTTTAGCTGGCTAAGAAATTCTTAACAAAGTCTGCAATATGCTTTTGGTCATTGTCTTTTGAAATATCCAACCTCTTGCAAACAATAAATTGATTTGCAGTTTGAAAATAAGACATTTTTGATTCAATTGATTTTAAAATTAATTTTTTTACAGAACTTATTATTTTACTTTTTATCATTTTGGATGAAAAATAAGTTAAAATATTGCACAAAACGTTAATAAATTAACGCCCCCGTTAATAAAATTAGTTAGAATATCGCACAAAACGTCAATAAATTAACGCCCCCGTTAATAAAACTACAAGTATCCTTAAACTTTTGAACCGCAAAAAATTCGTTATCTTTTTATAGTTACATAATTAAATGTTATTTTGAAAAAATGTTTTCATTTTTAAATAAATAATATTACCAGCATATTCAGTGAAATTTTCAAGAATCTTAAATGCGTTGTTCAAAATTTAGCGAAATAAGTGACTGTCCTTAAACTTTTAGGACGCTACTGTATGGTTCATATGAAATTCTTTTAATTTGAGATCGTCCATAAATTACGCAACGTTAAATTTCGCTAATAAACAAAACAAAAAATACCAAAAGTTTTCCCTCGCAGTGCCTTAGGTTAAATAAAAATTCAAAATAGCTAATTAAGTTTACTAAACTCACGGCGTAAAGAGCTTTAGATCTCCTACGCCTGTTATTTAAATAAATTTAGCGTTGCGTAATTTATTTAAAACCACTGCCCGCGGGCAAAAAAATTACCGCAGAGACTTTTTTAAATGCCCGTTAAACATTTTGGATATTTAGGAGACAACCATCTTGATGTGTATTTCTATCTACCTCAAAAATCAATTCAGACATCGAAAAACTAGTTTCAGATGGTCAAGTTCACCACTCTTAATGATTATATTGCTTTGATACAAATGATTATAGTAGTTATTAGTCACCTATATTTTCGTAGAAATAAATATTTTTTGCCCGCAAAATTGCTTTTTAACTTTATTTTGCCCGTATCTTAAAAGGTCTGGCCGCCCCTACACTACACAAATAATGCTGGAAGTAAAGCAAATGATAATCCATCAACCGTATTACGAAACTAATCTTGGCAGATCTTATATATCGTAGCGCTTCTCTTTGTACTAAAATTAATAAACTTTAATTTTTCTTCAAAATAGAATTAACAAACTTTCAAAAGTAAACTAAACAAAATTATATATGCTTGCATTCAATTGAGTTTGAACTTTGTTTTTACTTTTATGCGTAGTTAATATTGCAATGGATTAATGAATAATATAACTAATTTTTTTTTTTCACAAAATTTCTTGTTTCGTACAATTTTTTAAATTTCTATCATTACATTTTTAATAAAGATGCATTCATTTTAGTCTTCTTAAAGCATAATAATTAAGGTCGTAGAAAACATATCAAACAACATTTTTTTGAAAACGTGTCAGAGTCTGATTAGAATTTAAAATAAAACTTAAAGACGACACCACCAACAACAAAAAAAAAGTTTTATGGTGTAATTAAACATTTTAAGTCTTTGATATAACTTTTAAAGAAATAAAGCAAACTATAAATTTATGCATGTCTAAAATAAACGAAAGAAACGTAAATAAATTATTCAATACCTGTTGTATTAATGAGCTTATTGCATAAAGAGAATGTATGTCCAAAATTACATTCAAAATTACATTTTTATTACGAATATTTTTCTTTCAATAGCATGTTTTGATTTGATTTTGATTGGTTATATTTTTAGGTATTGTTAAAATTTTGTTTTGTATCATTTGAAAATCTAAATAAGGTGATCTATAACAACCACGTACTAAAAAATCTCACTATCTTTGTAGAAGTATTATTTCTATGACTTGAATTTTGTTCATTTAGTTAAAATTTTGTAATAATCCTTCTTTTTTTGTTTTTGTTTTCAAAATAATTTAGCTTATATTTTAAAATTTCAAATTTTATAAATAATCTTTTAGAAAATCAAGTTTCCATAAGTCAAATTTTTCTAAATATTTACATTCATCAAGACAAATTCTTTCTGTTAAAAAATTGAAAATCGTCCATGGCCTACTTTATACAGTAAGCGACCATTATTTAACACCAATTAATAAAATTAAAGCTACAACTATATTTCAAAACATTTTTACTCATTTTTGGGGTTATGTAAGTAATAATTACACTAATGCAAGTTCGCTCATCTGAAAGATGAGCAAATTTATCTTTACTTACCAAATTTAAATTTAAATTTACTTACCAAAGATATTATTTCTATGCTTCACAAAGAAACAAATACAAATAGTTATAAAAACTAATTTAAAGTAGCGCGCGTTGTTGACCAACATTTTTGCGTACCGAACAGAGTGAATTTGGTGACTAAATTTGGCAGTGACTGAATTTGGCGATGACTGGATCACACAATGGTCCAGATTTATACATTTTGTTGTAGCAACATAGTTTTTAATGAAATACCGCGTAATAATCATTATTTAAAGTTAACAAGCCACATTAAAACTGGTCAATAACGGACGTTACATTAGATTAATCTTTACGGCTGCTCCTATGCTTAGTCGACGATATCTTTGTATTTAAAAGCGTTGTATAGAAAAATGTAGTATAAAATCCAAAGAAAAATAAAAATTTAACCCAATCTAGTAAATCACTTAAAAAAACACTTAATGCTTATAAAATATCTGTTTAAATCTATTTTAAACGACGATTGTCACACATCAACATTGAACAATCGGTTCTAAGATAAACTAGTAAGCTTACAAACGTTTAAATTTTTGTAAATTAACTCTTTAAATTTACTAACCTTGTGGGTATTAAAATTATATTGGATTTAGGGTTTGGATTTTTGTTGCATAATTTGGATTAACGTTTTATAATACTTCGCTCGTTTAAAGCTATTAAAACACATCTGTTAACACAATAAAGTCATATTTGTTAAAAACTATGTTTGTATCTTAGTAACGTGTCGGAAAACAAAATATGCAAAATCAAGTAACATCAAAAATAAAATAAAGAAAAGTCTTCAAATAAAGTTTTTAATTTATTGATATTCTTAAATAAATGACTTTATAAGAATTTATCCAAAAATGAACACCTTTGCTCCAAGAAGCAAAAAACATAACAGCAATTTCACATGCATGTACTTAACTAAGAAACAGACACTAAAAATATTAAGTTGTTAATGATAGTTCTCATTCTTACTTATGATTAAAAGCAGTTCTTTTGCTTTTGCAAAAAAACTGCATACCAAAACAGTTAAAATTTTAATAACATTTTATAAGGTTAGAGTAGGAAAGTTTGTAGAAATGCTAATAAGAATACGTTACACGGGTGGTTAGGTATCAAAAGAAGAAATAATGTAAATTTTGCATTTCTTTTTTTGTATTTTTTTTTACGAAAGATAAAACATCTATAATTAGAAGTAGTATTCGATAATCAAAACAGATCATACCTAGTTATTTAAAGGCAATCGACTTCTTTGATTAATATTAATTATACATTTTTTATGTTTTAAAATAAATTTATTTGAAATAAACTAAAAAACAAATAAACAAACAAAAAAACAAAACAAAAAACAAGAAAAAAGGTTGTTTAATCGAAAAAGCATTTAACTATTTAATTGTCACGTGATAGTTTTATGTGTAAATCTGGCGTCGTCAGTAAATTATATTGAAATTTAGTTTTTTTTTCTAATTTTAATAAATAATAAGTTTATAGTTTAAAGTTATTATCAATATAGTAATGCGCTGTTAAATTTAACTATGTTTATATAAACAAAGTTGTCTGCTAAATTTAATGGTTTTGTTTTATAGTTTTTATTAGAAAAAAGCTACATCTGGTATGGTATAGTTTTTTTATGACTTAGAATTGGAACTGCTATAACGGATTCAACTGCATTCAACTACCTGTATTATGCTTAATGGTCATGTAAAAAATTCGCCGACTGAGGCTAATAACACTTTAAATGTGTCAATGCAATTAAATAAAAATCTCAGCAATAAAAAACATGAAACGTTTAATTCTATAGTTGATACCAGAGATCGAAAAGGTTTCTTACCACTATTTTTCGAACGAGCTTCTGGAAATTTATTTAATCCTTGTTTTGATTCTGAAATTTTAGAATCAGAGTTCCAGCGACTTTGTGTTACAATCGATAAACGATGTTTTCAAATCGCCTTACTTTACATGTCAGTTGTATCAGTTATACTTTCTGTATATATTGCTACAAGCCACAATGATGACAAATCGCATATAAAATTAGCTGTAGGTTGTGCTGTTGCCTGTGTAATTGCTATCATAGTATTTTTTTTTACAAGATTTAATAAATTTTATAGTAGAATATATATTGCAAGATCATTATCTGTCATTTTAACATTAGTATATTGTGGTGCAGAAGTTGCAGCTTTTTTTGTAGTTAATGATACAGACTTTTCATACAGTGCACGATTTGGATTAGCAACATGTATGATTACAGTCATATATACTATGATGCCAGCATTGCCTCTTTACGGGATTTTTATACTTGCATTAGCTTATTCAGTAGCAAGAGAGTTAGCAGCTTCGTTCAGAAGTACCACTAAAAGAACTGGTTATGAACTTGGAGGTATCATCATTCTGCATTTATGCATTCATGCTTTAGGTTTAACAGCAGTGTTTATGGCACAAGTTCGTAAAAGAAGTACATTTTGGCGTGTTGGACAAAGTGTTGTTGCAAAACAAGATTTAGACATTGAACAGCGTGTTAAAAATCGAATGATAAAATCAGTTATGCCTAAAAAAGTTGCGGATTTCTTAATTGAAAATGGATTAAAGCATAAAAGAGTTAAATCATTCCGACCTTTTTCTATGTACAAAATGGAAAATGTTAGTATTTTATTTGCTGATATTGTAGGGTTTACAAATATGTCTGCTAATAAAGAAGCAGATGATCTAGTTCATCTTTTAAATTTGCTCTTTGGTAAATTTGATGAGCTAACAGAAATTAACAACTGTGAAAAAATCAGCACACTTGGTGATTGCTATTATTGTGTTGCTGGATGTCCAGAAGAATCAGAGTATCATGCTATCTCTTGTATTGAAATGGGATTAGATATTGTTGAAGAAATAAAAAATTTTAGAAAAAAAACTGGGGAAGAAGTTGACATGCGTGTAGGTATTCATACTGGAAATATACTGTGTGGTGTTGTTGGTAATAGAAGAAGAAGGTTTGATGTTTGGTCAAATGATGTTAATCTAGCTAACAAAATGGAGTCTAAAGGTTATATTTTTTATAGTAATAAAGTTTTTTACAAAGAATTTTTTTTATAAAATTAATTTCATAAATTTTATAACACAATATTTGATATAAATTGATATAACGTTTTCAAAATACTTTTTAGCAGAAACTAAATAATTCAATTAATTGATTTAAATATGAATACTTATTTAAGTGAATTAAACTAATACTTTAAAAAAGTAAAAAACTTTTTTAAAGTTAACAAGCTTTTTCTCAATAACTACTTTTTCATTTAACCTGATTTTTTTTTTCCACAAGGTGATTTTTATAAATTTCTAACTTTTAATTTAATTAATTTAGTTTTAATTAGTTTATTCAATTATCAATAATAAGTGAATTTGTAAAAACCAAAATTTAATAAGATTTTTAAAAAATAATTTAGGAAAACCTGGAATGGTCCATATAACAGAAGTTACTCGAAGATATTTTAAAGATCAATATGTGCTTTTAGATGGTGATGGAATTGAATATTCTGGTGGAAAATTGAGTTCTTATTTTATTTCATGTCGAAAAAATGGCATAAGTGCATATAAACCTTGGCAAAAAACCAGTGATTTTAATAAAAGAAATGGAAGTGTTTCAAATATTATTGACCATTTAGATGTGGAGTCAAAAAGTATTAATTGCCAAGTAGCCACATCTAAATCTTCTTTATCTATAAATAAAGTTGATGTTTCTTTCAGTATACATAATCATATTACTCCACAATCAGATTCAGATGACAGTATTGAAAACGAGTTTTTGTCAAAAAGTATTTCAACCCTATCTTCACCAAGTCATTTCCAGGAAAATTTGCCTAAAAAAAATACAAATTTTAGTAAGTCTAGTGCGACATTTAACTTCTCGTATGGTTTAGCATTAAATGAAGCTCTAATGAGAGATGCAATGAAAGCATCAAATGATAATCAACTTGTAAAACTTATGCATGGAAAGAAAATTCAAAGAGAATACTTTTTTAATCCTCCTTTACATTGGTGGTCACTGACATTTATTGATGAAGTTAAGGTAGATAAAAAGGAAAACGATGAAAATGAGGATGATGTAAATATTTCGCAAAAAACTAAAATAGTAAAGAACATTACTGAAGCAAAATATAGAGATGAAGGCTTTAAAGGTTTGAAATTAAACCCAAAAGTAACAACTTTTGCATCACCAAAAGTTCACTTTTTATTTGATGTTGTAACAAGCGCAATAATTTTAATAGGTGTTATCATTGTATGTATTCTTTTCTACAAAAATTTTCCAACAACTTTAGCTATTTTAATTGGTTGCAGTGTGCTTATAATGTTATCTTTACTTGTACTTAAATGTTATAAATTGTCGCCATCAAAGTTTCAAGGAAAAATGAGTACATGTGCAGCTAACCCTGAAAATAGTAAGTTAGTTTTACATTTAAAAATATTTTTATCAGACCTACAGAAAACTGACTTATTATAAGTATATATTTTAGGTAGTACAGATGATATAACTTCGAACAACATGGAAAGTATCACAACTGAAAGTCTTCACGACTTGACAGAAAATTCCAACTTACATCAATCATTTAAAAGTAAGCTTTTTTCGGCTTGGGTGACATCACATTTGTATGGAGGGATTATTATGTGTCTTCCTATAATAGTTGTTTTTTCAACATACGAAGACTGCAAGACAAACAATTGGAAAAAGCCTCAAATAGAATATTTTGCAATGTTAATGTTTGTTAGTCTTCTCCATTTTTGCAACTTTACACAATTATCCTCACTGATGAAGACCAGTTTTGCCTATATTTGGGCTCTTGCTTTTATTCTAATGCTTGTTGTTTTACCTTCTTCAAACTGTATGCTTCGCAGTGACAAGTCTGATAAAGTTATGATAATGGATATTGTTTTAGTAGTGATTCTTCAAATCATTCTAATAACAATTCTAAATCGCATTCATGAGCAAGGCGTCAGAGCAAACTTTTATGGTGATAAAGAAGCGGCTGAACAAAAGAATATTGCATTAGAACAGAAACAAGTTGCAGATTGGCTTATTAATGATATGTTTCCTCGATATGTTTCTGAAGAATTAAAGTTTACTAATAACTGTTCTAAAAATTATGAGATGGTAGGTGTCCTCTTTGCTACTATTGTTAATTTTAGTGGCTTTTATGAAGAGAACTTTGCAGGTGGTCTCGAATGCATAAGAATACTTCATGAGTTAGTTGCTGATTTTGATAATGAACTTGTGAAGTTTCAAGATATTGAGAAAATAAAAACTGTCTATGGCACAACATTTATGGCAGCCTCTGGATTAAATCAAACTAGTAAAGTTGTTCAATTATCTGATGAAAAAGATAAACAATATTTACATTTAAAATCTTTAATGGACTTTGCCCTAGTAATGCAAAGATCTTTAGATGATTTTAATGAAAACATGTTAGGTTTTAAATTTCATCTTCGCTGTGGTTTTAATGCAGGTCCAGTTACTGCTGGAGTTATTGGTACTATGAAGCCTCAATACGATATATGGGGTGACACAGTCAATGTTGCTAGTCGTATGGACTCAACTGGTGTTGTTGATAAAATTCAGGTATCTGAAGAATGTATGAAAAAGCTAGAAAATTTTTACACTTTTACTGAACGCGGAGCAATACCTGTTAAAGGTAAAGGTATGGTAACGGCTTACCTACTAGTTAGCAAGAAATAAAAACGAATATGTATTTTGAATTGTATATTTGTTTAAAAAAAAAATTTGTTTTTATCTTCAGTTTTTAAATTATTAAAAATATAATAATTATTTTATGATTTTATTTTAATGCATAAAAATAGTTTTGTAATCCTCTGTATGGTACAAGTTTAGTTGTTACTGTATGGTACAAGGTATTTTAGTTGTTACATATGGAAATCATGGTTGTTTAGCATGTGGAAAGTATATAGTTTTGATATTTTTGAAACTGTGACTTACTTGAACATTTTGTCAACTTTTAATTGGTATTAAATTTTTTAACTAATTAAATCGCTTTATTGCGTAAAAACCATAAACAATAAGTAATAAGCGGTGCTTATTTTATTAGGAAACTGTGTTTTTTTTCAAGTAGTAATGCGTGTGTGTTCATTTGCGGCGCGCCTGTATCAATTTAATCTTAATTTATTGAATCACTGTAAATAAATCATTTCTGCTTTTTTTTAACTTTGCTTATTTTTTAAGCTTTAAAGTATGAGTTTAAAGTTTGAATATTGAATGATATTTTGTGTTACAGTGTTGCAAATTATTTATTATATTTCTTTGAATATTTGAACTTTTTTATTGTTTTTATGAATTTTTTAGATAAGTTTTTGTTACGAAAAGAATAACTTTATTGACCTATTAAATGTTTTTTAGAATTTCTTTATTTTAAATTGAAAACATATTAAGAAGGTTTGTCCTAATATATTTTTATTTAAAGGTAGACGCGCATAATAAATTGCACTGCGTGGACACCTAGGCTTTCTCAGGGTTTATACATGTATGATACATTTTGTTTAGCGTGCTTACAATATCGGGTGAAACTCGGATATAAATTGAAATAATAAATAAAATAAATACATAAAATCAATCTTTTCCCGTTTTATTTTTATAAGTATTTGCTATATTTACTTTTATCAAAGGAATAGAATAAAATACTCTATTAATAAAATAGAATCGAGTAAAACCGGCTCAAACCGCACACCATATCATTCCACACTGATTGAATTTATCAAATAAATGCTGAACGGATATGGCTATAAAAAAAAATAAAAATAGACTCAATACAGAATTATCTCCTCTATTCGAACTGATAAAGTTATATGCCGATTTAACTCAATTTTTTCCTCTTTTTTTACACAACTTTAACGGGTAGTCAAAATTTTCTATATATTTCTTAGCGTTGCGAACAAAATAGCGCATGAAACGAAACTAATAATTTTAGCACTATCTTTTTTAAAATATAATTTCCATTCTGATCGCATAATTTTTATGTAGCTAGAACAAAAGGTTAAAAAAAAATCAAAAAAGTAAAAATTCTTTTTTCTGATAGAACCGCACACTCGATTAATTTTTTTAATTTAATTTTTATTTTATTAAAAAATAGCAGGAATGCATGAAGAAGAAATTATTCCGTGCATAAGGATCTTTCAAAAGACTATCTGATTCCTCGTGATTTTTAAATCGTGATAAGTTATATCGTGATAGTTAAATTAAAAGTTTATGGTTTTTTTCATAAAAGCCTTAAACTTTTACTATCATATCTAAGCGATCGAAAGCAAAGAGTTAAATTGGGTTCATCATTTTCTAAGTGGTTAGGAGTTTCATTAGGGGTGCCTCAAGGATCAATGCTTAGGCAAATATTCTTTAATATACTTATAAATGACCATTTTCTGTTTATTAAAGGCTCTGAGATTTGCAATTTTGCTGACGATAATACTCGACAAATATTCAAACAGCCGATTTGTAATGGTTAGCTAGAACAAAATTTTTGCTTCGAATTAGAAGTTTTATATCTTATAAATAAGCTACTTTATCATTTAACGCATCTATTTTAACTAATTTTTCATACTATCCTTAGGTTTAGATGTTTTGTTCAAAATACAAGGACAACCTTATTATTAAAATTCATTAAAAAGCACTCCACATAGTCCATAAATGATTTAAAATGTCTTCGGATGAAATGTTAAAATTAGATAATAACCCAAGAATCCATTTTCGAAACTTACAATTTATTATGATTGAAAATTTTAAATCCCTTAATGGTTTAAACCCTGAATTTATGAAGGGGCTTATTTATAAAAAAAAAATTACCGTTTCAACTTAGATAATGCAATAAACTGATATTACCGCCAAAAGGCTCTAATCATAAAAATACCAATAATGTTTTATACAAAGCCACCTCGCTTCGGAATTCCTTTAACATTGAAACCATGTGCTCAAAAAGTCTCCAGGTGTTCAAAAATAATGTATTACATTGGAATTGGGAAAAATGTTTTTGTAAAATTTGTGGAACTTAAATTTATTTATTATTATTACTGTAATTTTTACCATGTAATTTTTACGAATTTATAAATTTATTTGTACTTTTTACGTACTTATGAAGTTATTTTTTCTTTTTAAGAATTCTATGCAAAATATTTTATTTAAATAAGTTGTTGTGCTAGTTGTTACTGATTTTTTATGGAATTTTTTACGATATTTGTGTTTGATTGTATTGTGTATACAGTTTATTGTGTTGATTTTAATTAGTTTATTTTTTAAACTAATGTATGCAATTAACTATAAATAAAATTTTAAACAAATAATTACTTAGTTTAGTTTTTTGCAAGTGACTAAGCGCCTATCTTTATCTAATTAACTTAGTGTTAATTCCAGTTTAATTAATTTAATTACAACTTACTCGTTAAAAATCAATTATTATGTTATTTCTCAATATAATCATTCCTGACTCAATTCAACTCACTAACTTATCAACTAAAAAAACAAAAGCGTACAAGGAAGATGATATACAACTCGCATTAATTGATATAAAAGAAGTTAAAACATCACAGAGAAAAGCTGCATTCAAACAAGGCGTTGAAATCTCAACACTCAACCATTGCAAAAATAAGAACAACAAAGGCCTCCATGGCTCAGGTACAACAACGGCACACTCAAATGAAACAGAAAAAATGATGGTGCATGCCTTACAATTACTTAGGGACTAGAGTTACGGGGTAACCTGAAATGAACTCCTCAATTTTTACTGGCCACCTTAAACGCGAAAATCAGTTGTACTTATTCAAAATTGACAATCGTGGCAAAAACTGGTTTTATGCCTTTATGAAGAGATGTTCAAAATAAATTTCAAAAAGAAAACCAGACTATTTAACATCTAACAGAGCCGCTTTTTTACGCTAGAAATAATCGTTATTTTGAATGCGTCGCCATGCATTATCAACAGACTGGTATAACGTTTAGGTTGTATATTTGCAATTGTGATGAAAAAGGTTTTTTGGGTGATAAAGGCAATGCAACAGTAGTGTGTCGAAAAGGGACAAGACATACGTTTAAACTTACTGGCAACAATGAAAAAGTCCATTATACTGCGAACAATTGCTGCAACGTTGATGAGCATTTTGCGCCATTATTTGTGATATACCAAGCTAAAAGAAAATTTTGTTCTGACTGAGCAAGAGGTGGCTCAGTTGGCACCACATATTTAATTTCAAAATGAGGTTGGATGGAGCACGATAAATTTATTGAATGGCTGAAAAAAGTATTTATACGAAACTAAGCAAATTGTTGCTATTCATATATTAGTACTAGATGGGCATACGACTCACATGACTTTGAAATCAGTATTGCTGTGCAAAAAAAACAAAAAACAATCTTTTTATGCCCACCAGAGCATTTTTCACATATTCTTCAATCATTGGATAGAGGTGTCCATTGTCATATCAAAAAAGCGTTGATTCTTACCACGTATTGCAAAATGTAAAAATTTAAATAAAGAAAATTTTCAACTGTTTCTCAAACTGCTGTACGAAGTGGTAAATGTTTTACACGCTTGCATGCAATCACTGGTTTTCAGTAACTGGCTTATTTCCACTTAATAAAAACAACATAAATCATAAGGCATTAGCAATCGCACAAACGTTTTTTCGCCATCATCAACTTTAGCACCATCTGAAGCACCATCGCCATCCTGCTCAGTCACAGCTTTATCATCTATAACAGCCGCGGCAGCATCTACTCTGTTACACATCGATTACCATCTTTATTAACTTAACCAGCTTTGAGTTTTGATATCAAGAGGAATGGCAACATTCTTTCAATCCAGAAATCGCATGTTAGGAAATTGAAACAGTGACACGTGTAAAAACTTGGCGAAAAATGTATTACTACTTTTTATAACTTTGGAAGAATATTCAGTGCATAAGTGAAAATTTACGTAAAATTCGACCGTTAATAAATTTATAATGTTTTTTAATTGGCAAAACGATGGAATAAAAAATTGTGGCGTAAAATGTGGAAAGGGGTCGTCCATAAATTACGTCACGCACTTTTTAACCGCTTTTTAAATTTTTTTTGATCGAAACGTTTATTTGGGATTAATATCGAAAATTAATTTTAAAAAATTAATTAAAAAAAAAAAATCAAAATTTATTTAGAAGTAATAATCTCGAAAATACCTATACGGAATAAAATCGAAATTTGGATTTAGCAATGGTTCAAAAAACTAGCAAAGAGGTAAAACATTGAGGAGTGTTGCTACATCGACTGAAAAATAGGTAGAACATGCAAGGAATACTGCTACATTGACTAAGGGTTTGGTTTGGGCAGGTAGTCTAATTCTCTATTTCAATATTAATCCAAAAAGTCCATTTTCGAACTCATTCTCTTTTGATCTATTTCGACCTTTTTTTGCTTTCCATACTTTAGATACAATTCTTTTTTTTACAATTTCGGTTTTATTCTCTATTTCAATATTATTCCGGAAAGACCCTTTCGAGCTTATTTAGTTTGGCTGTTTTTGATACTGTTACTACTACCCAGAGCTGGGCATCAATACCAAATATTTAAAAGCGCTACCACTACCTTCCGCTTCTTTGGGAACCAAAAACCGCTTCCGCTCTTCCGCTATTTTTTAAACTATAAAATTAGTAGTGTTAGTCCGCTTCTAGACCGCAACTAAAAAAAAAATTTTAATTGAAAAAAGTATTAATATCCCCTCTCTCCCACGTTAAGTTTGTCATACCCATATGGGATGATAAAAAGTGACAACTTTTTAAGTGTTATACACTTTTAAATATCTTACAAAGAACTTACGGAAAATAATTTATCTTTCATGACAGTTTCTCGTGTAAATGTGTTGTTTAAGTTGTTAAACCTATGAAAAGTTATTATTCAATTTTAAAGTTAAACAAAAAATAATAAAAAGTTTTCATCTATTCATCTTCAAGAAGGTTTTTATTTTTAAGTTTTATGTTTCCCTTTATAAAAACAAGCTGTTCAAAATTGTGGAAGCTGAGTGATGACCTCTTGGGTCTGAGAATATCAGACCCATAGCTAAAGAGCCTCTCAACAGATGCTGATGACGGTAGCGCCGTGTTGTACTTGTTTTTAGCAGACACCTTGATTTTGGACTACTTTACCACCTCTTCATTTACTCTATCCTCCAAGTTATTTTGTACCTCATTTAGCTGCCACATATACTGAAAAATTAATTTTTTTAGTCAATTTGAGTCACAACTTAAAGACTTTTAAAGGAACACATTTTCATAAAAGACCCTAATACTTTATTGAATTTAAATGTACTTAGTTTTGCTAACTATTTATTTTTAAATTGTAACTTACAGCAATGTTGCTAGAATCCGCCTGATAAGTCTTGTTGGAGTCGGGCAAAAAATCGAATTTTTGCTGCTTATGCAAAATTATACAACTTTTTACTTCATCTATTGTATTGTTTACCGAGCTATATTCATGACAGAGGTAACTGACAACTGGCAGCTTATAATAAGGATGCACATAAGTTGCGATTAACAGGTCTTTGTCTTTAAAAAGATGACCGAACCTAAAAGGAAGTAAAACTTTTATCCAGATAAATACATCATTTCTATATCTAAATTAGGAGGAATACTACAGGTTGGTTGGCATGCCTTATGGTGTTGTCTTTAGACAGGCGTACAAGTGAATCCTTAAAATAGTAGGACAAAATGAATTATTATGTAACAAGCGAGTTCATAGAAATAATGGTGTATTTGATTTGCAAAATAAAATTTTCGGTTTTATCATTGATATAAATCTCTTCTTCAAAAGTATTGATATCATTTATCATACAATCACTAAAATAATTTTTCAAGAATAACTTAAAGGTACCCTTTTATTTATATTTGAATACTTACCTTCACCAATCTAAGCTGGGGAAGTAGACATCCCATGTAAGCATCATTATCTGCATGTAACCTGTCAAGACAGACAGCTAGGGGAGCAGTCACTTTTACATACTCACTCCAAACCTCTTTGTCTTCCTTTGTAATCATTGGCAGGACGTGGGGTTACTGCCGCTGGAAAACTTGATTAAGCTTCTTTAGCTTAGCTTTGTCAGAAATCTTAATAAAAGTATTTGCATATTGATGTTAAACAGTTAACAAAAGAATGAAAATACCTTTCAAATGTAAACATTGAAGAAAATTTAGGTTGTTATATTCATATGCAATATAAAAAAGTATAAAAATTTATATACTTCGAATGATAGGCATTTAAATGCATCATAACAGGAGTTCCACCTGGTGATCCCTGGTGTCGCTAACTTTCTCTTCAGGGCTGCCTTTATGTCATTTGTTATCACTGTCCTCCTATTTTGAGCGTTCCACATCCCCTGGGCTTTAGCAGCTGGCTTTAAAAACAATGGCTTGGGATTCGAAATCCAACCTGGCACTTTCTGGGTGTCCTTACAGGCCAGCAAGTTTATTGTGTGAGCTGCACAACGGTGGTGCTTTGTAAGAATGATGTCATCAGTGCAACATTCAAGTATTTCCTCCAACAAGAAAGGCCTCGAGCAACCAGCTCAGGATCCTCTCTCGCTGCTCTTTCCTCTTCGACTAAACCAAACTGGTTCAAGGCACTTACATAGTTTGAACCATTATCTGTAGTTGTTGCAACAACCTAAAGTTAACAACCTAAGTTGCAGTCAATTTCAATTGACTACAAAATCAAATATTTTTAAATTTGAAAAATCAATTGAAAGTTTTTGAATTAGTTTGCTTCTACAAACTTTCCCACTAAACTCTTGATGCAGTTCAAACATGACGTCTGCTAAGAGTTTCCTAGTTTGGGCTTCTTTTATCTCCTTGACACACAAGACAGCATTTTGTCTCTCTAGAGTTTCCTTGTTTAACCAGGTCACCATCATCCCAAGGAAAGATCTATTAAACAAACAACAAATATAATATAACTTTAATAGTATTATAAACTTAGGGTAAAAAAAAACGTTTCAAACTTGGTCTAATTGCATTATATTATTTTTTTATTTTAGATAACTTTTTAGTTACCTGTGATGGGAAGACCAGCTATCAGCAGTGGTTGCAACATAGTCTTGTTTATTTAAAATTTCTATGAGATGCTCTTTGACCTTTTCCACTATACGATTGATATCCGTCATTAGCTTTTTCATAGAGGGAACCTTAAAAGTAAGGCAGATATATTCCAGAAACTGGCGAAATGCCTTAGAATCTGTCTCCAGGGTCGGACGCATGTCTACGATGAATGACCTGAAAATTAATAAAACAATTACCAATATAAGAGTTAAATCAGTATTTTGAATCGAGTTCATGTAACTTATGTTGATAAAAAAATTTACTTTATCTACCTGTAGTACAGATCTAGGGCCTCTCTCTGATTAAACTTGTATACTTATACTAATCTATACTAATCTGCCTCTAACTAATCTTATACTAATCTATACTAATACTTATACTAATCTATACTAATCTGCCTCTATACTAATCTGCCTCTTTTTAGCATCTGGTTCTTCTCTGTCTTTGTAAGAGTTTATCTTGCCTCTCTTGCTACCTGAAGCCAATGCAGCCAAAAAATTTGCCTCAAAAGTCTTTTATTATAATGCTTCTTCAGGTTGAAGTAACTAAATTTTTTTGCACCTAAAATTAACATTAATTAGACTTAAAATTTCATATTTTTTATAATTTAACTTATTTTTCAAATATCCATATCCATAATAGTAAAACCGCAACTTTCACCGCGAACGGACGTGTTTTAAGAGCTTATTAAAAAACTTATAATAATGGCGAAAAACTTTACACCAGCACAACTTAAAGAAATCCTTGAAAATCACGAGAATACTATGATGAAAATTTTTAATGATCGGATAGAAAAAATGGAAATTAAATTTAATAACTTAAAAGATGAAAACTTTACGTTAAAAAAAGAATTATCTGAAAAATATTTTTAACATAATTAAAAAGAATTATCTGAAAATATTTTTAACATAATTTGCTTGACAGAAACGTGGATTTCTTCGAACGATTTTAAAAATAATTCTATTTTCCATCTTCTAGGTTTTGAAACAGTTTTATTAGAAAGACAAACAAATAAACGCGGTGGAGGAGTTCTGATTTACGTTAAGGAACACATTGCGCATAACATTAGGAATGATATGTGCGTTTCTGACGGTGATAAAGAAATCGTAACTATTGAAATTTTAAACAATAAAAAAAATAATATTCTATTAAGCTGCACCTGATGGTGCGTCTGAAAATCTTAGTTTCTTTTTACAACAAAATATCATTCACAAAGGTAGCAAAGAAAACAAAATTGCTTTTATAATTGGAGATTTCAACATGGACTGTTTAATTTATAATAAAGATAAAAAAATAAAAAGTTTTTATGATGAAATACTTATGGCAGGAGCTGTTCCTTTAATTAATCGCCCTACTACAATAACCAAAACTTCAACTACGTTGATTGATAATATTTTTACAACGGATATTTATAATAGAAAATGAAATAAAGGAATTATAAAAACCGACATATCCGATCATTTCCCTATTTTTCTAACAATCCATACTGTATCCTCTAATAACCCCGAAAGACAAAATATAATAAAAAAACGTGTCTTCAATGAGAGCAATATAAAATCCTTCCAATATCAATTATCACTTCTGCATTGGAAACATATTAACTTTAATGAAGACGCAAATACAATACATAATAAATTCTTTGATACGTTCTTCTCAATATACGATGCAAACTTTCCACTTTGTGAAAAAATAACAAAAATAAAAACCTTAAATAGTCCATGGATTACCAAAGGACTTAGAAAATCCTCTAAAATAAAACAGAAACTATATATAAAATATCTAAAAACAAAATCAAATGAAAACCAACAAAAATATAAAAATTACCAACATTTATTTGAAAAAATTTGTAAAAAATTAAAAAAAAATTATTATTCAAATTTAATTAGTAAATTTAAAAACGACTCAAAAAATACTTGGAGAACGTTGAAAGAAATAACAGGAAAACAAAAAACAAATTCAAACTCCCTTCCTAAAGTAATTAAAATAAATAAAACAAATATATATGAACCAAACGAAATTGCAAACGAGTTTAATAAATATTTCATTGACATAGGAACCAAATTGGCAAACAAGATCCCTATTACAGAAAAAAATTTTAGTGATTTCCTAGAGCCTATAAATAATTCGCTTTTTATAGATAATTTACATTCTGACTTATCTTTTGATGAGTTTGAGAGAGCTTACAATTCTCTCAAAAGAAACAAAGCTACGGGTGCGGACGAAATAAATGGCAACATAGTCATAGATTGCTTTGAAAACTTAAAGTGTACTCTTTATAAAGTCTTCAGGGCATCTATACAGCAAGGTGTATTCCCCAACCAATTAAAAATAGCTTAAGTAACTCCTATATACAAAAACGGAAAAAAATCAAATATTAATAATTATCGCAGTTCTTTCAACTTTCTCAAAAATTTTAGAAAGAATTATATACAATAGAACATACAATTACCTTAATCTAAATAAACTTCTATATAAAAATCAATTCGGTTTTAAAAAAATTGTTTAACTGAACAAGCCATTACACAGTTTATTCGTGAAATCTCCGATTCATTTGGTAGATCACAATATACATTAGGTATTTTCATTGACCTATCAAAAGTATTCGACACGGTCGATCACAAAATTCTACTTAAAAAACTCAAATTTTACGGAATTAATGGCAAATTAATAAAATGGTATCAAAGTTACTTGGAAAATAGAAAACAATTTGTTTTCTATGGAGATTATTTTCAAAATGAAAAATTAATTGACATAAAATGTGGTGTTCCACAGGGTTCTATTCTAGGCCCACTTTTTTTTTTAATTTATATAAATGATTTAAATAAAGCTTCTAACCTTATGAGTATAAATTTTGCGGACGATACTAATTTATTTCTGTCAAACAGTAGCATTTATGAGCTTTTTTCAAATATGAATAATGAACTCAATCAGATCTCCAACTGGTTTAAGTGCAACTAGTTAACTTTAAACATTGACAAAACAAAGTGGATCCTTTTCCACTCTCTTGCTAAAAAGCGTTTTTTACCAAATAAATTGCCTAAACTTTTTATTGATAAAATTGAAATAAAAAAGGTGTCGGTCACAAGATTTTTAGGCATTTACATTGATGAAAATATTACATGGAAGTATCATATCGACTATATTTCTACTAAATTGGCTAAAAGTATTGGAATTCTATATAAGGTCAGATACTATTTAAGTAAACAAAATTTAATTCAACTCTACTACTCGTTTATTCATAGCTATATAAATTATGCAAATATTGTTTGGGGAAGTACCTCTAAAAGTAAGTTACGAAGTCTTTACCATCGTCAGAAACACGCAATGCGTTTAATATGTTTCGAAAATCGTTTTTCTCATTCAAATATTTTATTTAAAAAAGTTAAAGCACTTAACGTTTACGAACTCAATGTCTATAATATTTTATGTTTTATGTTTCGTTGTAAAAGTAAACGACCATTGTCCAATTTCAAAGATCTTTTTACTTATAAAGCTATAAACAAATATGCTTTACGAAATAATAATTTATTAATTGAGCCCTTTTGTCAAACAAAGTTTAATCAATTTTGCATAAACTATAGAGCACCGTATTTATGGAACAAAATTGTTGTTCCAAATTTTGATTTGTCAATTTCGTTTTCCGTTTTTAAAACTAAATTAAAAAACTATATTCTTTCTACTGGGAATATATATAAATATTTTTGAAATGTAAAATTCTTTTTTTTTTACTCTAGATAATTTATAAAATTATTTTCAGTTTTTGTTTCTTCTACATTGTTATTAGTTATTTGATCAATTGTATTTTATTTTATTATATATACACGTATTATATCTTTTATATGGTTCTGGCGACAAGATCATTTGGATCTTCTTTCAGATACCAAGTTTATATATTGTTATATTGTTATATTACGATTAATAATTGTAAACTGAAAAAAAAAACAAAAAAAAACAAAAAAAAACAAAAAAAACAATTATATTGTATATATATTTTTATTTAATACCTTCAGTTTGGTCTGACATTTAACACAGACAGCAAGAGCCCCTTTCTCATCAAATTTAAAAAACTTGCTAAGGTACTCCATATTTTTGCTATCGTGAACATGATCAGAGTCCGCAGGCAACTGAATGCTGCAATCCAAGTAAGAATTTTCCAATCTAGGGTAAAGTTCATTATTTCCACCATCTGCCGCATCACTACTGATGACAAAACTAGAATTGTTCTCCCTGAAAAACCTCAACTGTGAAGAGAATTTCGCTGGGCTACAAACTTCCGGGTCCATTTTAAAAGGCTGGCTAAAGTAATGATTACAAAGTAATGATAATTAACAATTAGTAGATGATAGGGAAAAGCGGGGAACTAAGCCGCACACTTTATATTTTTTATAACTTGGTTATATTATGAAAAAAAAAAGTTAAAAACTTTTTTTAATTTAAGCAATTAAAACCAAACAATGAACAGTGTTTGGTCTTTTGACCAAATTACAAAATTGCTTTAATCAAAAAAAGCAACTTTCTATACTCTAATAAATGCAATCTGGTTGGTTAAAACTTGTAAAAACAAAATGGCTATTTAGATTAAAGTACTTGAGTCTTATGGTCCTATGGGGCTTAATACCCCTCTCCCAATAAAATATATATATATATATATATATTTGTACAAGTATATTAGGTTTTCTTTTTATTTTAAAAAAATAAAAAGGGTATTAACTAACTGATAAATACTCTGACTGAAAAAATTAATAATCACAACATAATGGCAAACTAAATCAAAGTGAATATGTTTTTTAGACTAAGAACTACATCTAAAAAAAAAAAAAACCTACCGTTAATCGTTAAAAACAAAAATATTTTGTATAAAGTATAGTGCATAAGGATTATTTTGCAAGAAGAAATTGCAAACGCAAAGTACATTGAAAATATTGGATTGTTTATTGTAATAATTTAACTTTATTAGGAATTTGCAGCTGTTCTGCAATTGCATTTGTAAAAGTTGTTGTTTAATTTTATATAAAGATTATTTCAATGAGATGATAGAAAAGTCCAGATAAACGCATCTATATGCACAATTAAGTTAACACATAAAGCTAATTGCGGACATTTTTTATAGCAAACATGGCGTTTCTTTGAAAATTCTATATCAAATTGCACACATCTCAAATTATTTTGATAAAGTAACAAAATTTTGAAACTTTAAACTTTTTTTTTTTTCTTTTACTTCATTTTGAGGAAATAAAAAAGTCTGCAATTTAAATCATTTCAAGTGGTATTTCTTAATTTAAATGGTAGCGGAGAAGCGCTTTGATTTTTTTTTTGGTAGCGACCTTAGTCCGCTACCAAATTTTCTTAGTGAAAGCGCTTTCGCAACTCCGCTACGAAATGGAGAGTCCGCATGCAGCGGAGTTGCGGACTAGCGGACTAAGTCGCGCTACCGCCAGCTCTGCTACTACCCTAAAATGTGTTTTTCGCTATAAAATGTAACGTTTAATATTAGAAATATTGAAAGTCAAACACAAGTATACCCCCTGTGCCCTACAACCCAGTATACCTCTATTGCCAATAAGATAAGGTTTCCCCTAAGCAAAATATAGAAATCTAAGTCTCAAGACCAACACA